TTTCCTAATCCTTGAATGTTATTAGTGAACAAGTGTCTTTCTCCTTTAAAGAATGCAAGTGCTTGTTCCTTTTCTTCTTTATTTAATCCTTCTTCTTTGGTAATAATTTTTAGCTGCTTATCGATGGTAGGAATTGGGTTTTCACTTTTCAAGGTTGGTAATTCCTCTACCAATGTCATGTAAATTGCCGGGCTAACCTCGTCTTTCCACAGATTTTTGTATAAGTCTAATTCGTCTTCTGATTCTACTGTATAATATCCCTCTTTTTCTTCTAGCTCTTCACTCTCATAGGTAAATTCGTCGAATGTATGGGCACTTTGCTTATCCCATTCTTCTTCGTCAGGTCTTAATTTATCTACGCCAGTATGCAAAATTAGCACCTCAATGGTCTTTCTCTGATGCTTTAGAATTAACCGTTGCTTATTGAAATGGATCCTGGCTTGAGCTTTCTGGAACCAGTTGGTTCCCAAAAGAAGGGTTTCATCTGACGATTCGATTACTTGGAGGGTGCTTGGGATAACTGCATCTTGGAGGATTATTTTCACATCATTGATTTTTTCTAGTGCCCTGGTCTTTGTGCCGGTGGCGGTTACAACAACAGTCGAGGATTTTTCCTGGATCCGAAGTCCCAACTTATCCACAAGCTTCTTGGTCATGATACTTACAGCAGCCCTGGAGACTAATACTGCGACAACTAGGTTGCCCTAAATTCTAACATAACATCGAGCTGCCATGGTTCTTTGGTCGTTTTTGAATTTCACATGGCTGGCTTCTTGTATCGTTGCGAGAGGTCTTCATAAAGCCATAGCCAAGTTCCTCCTCTGATTGGGGTACTGGAGCATTTGACCTATTGTTATGTTTGCAGGGGAATTCATGATATCTTTTGCCACGTTGTAAGTGGCCAGCTTATCGATCTCTAATGGGTCTCATTTTCTTCGCTGTTTCTTCATGGGTACAATTTCATCTTCAACCATTACGTCAGGGGCTTCTAAGTTTACTAATGTTTGGGGCGCAATGTTTCCCCGAGTTCTTAACCGATTCTCCTACCGGGTCTCTAGTTGGGCTTGAGCCACCTTTTTGCTATTCACTTCATAGGGTTGGTACCTATTCTCTCCTAAGGTATAGACCTCATCTTCCTAACCATCGTTATCGACGTAAGACGTGGTTACCTCCATGTAATTGTTAACCTTTTTCTCTTCATTCTCTTTTTTTGCTGCTTTTTCCGATAGGCAATTTCAGGATATATGGCCAACTTCGCCGCAATTATAACACGTAATCCCCTTCTCGGTTCACAGCGTTTTTCTGAACTTCCTTCACTTTTCCACTTATTTTCTCCTCAGGATTCTTTGGGTCGGTTCTCTATGAGGGAGGCGTAGTTCAGAGCAATCTGTTCTATCTTTTGGGTCAGATTGCCCAATTCTTCTTCCAGCCTTCTCTGATGTCCTTTTTCCTGGGTTTGTTTGCTGTAGTATTCACCTGCTTCGACTCTTCGGGCACTAACGATGGCTTCTTCTAAGGTATCAGGTTCGGAAACAGCCATGAAAGTCAGGGTTTTACCACAAAGTCCACTTAGGAACATTCGGATGACATACGTTGGGCAATTCTCTTTCGGGGTTGACCCTTGCTATTAGACACTTAAACTTTGCTGCATATGTATTGACTTTTTCATCTTTTCGTTGTTAGAGGTTATTCAACTCGATTTGCTATCAGTGGCGTTTTTCTGGTGTAGCGAAAAATTCGACAAATGATTGATAGAAACTTTCTTCTTCATTATCTTCATTCTTCCATTCTTTTAGTTGATCTTTCTTTCCCTTATACCAATCAGCAGCTAAGCCTTGAAGGTATCTGAATGCAATCTTCAACATTCTTTTCTTGGACCAATTGTTGGCTATGGCAGCCCTCTCGAATGCTTCAAACCATTCGATCGGGTCATCTTCATCATTTCCACAAAACGGGTTGATCTTTACATGGGTCAACTCTCTTCTTTCTTTGGGGTCCTTCTTTGAATTCGCGATGGTATTAGCAACTTGGGCAAATGAAGTGGTTAACCCTTCCAATAATTCTTTTAACTGATCTTTATTCATTCTCTCTGGTTTAATAGGGGGAATATTATTATTATTAATGCTATTTATTGGGACTTTAATTACTTATTCCAATCTGCTAAAATTTCAAAATCGGGGGGGGGGGGGGGGAGTCAACGTGTCGAATCTCACAGTCACCACCAAAATGACAACTGTAAAACGGCGAGCCTGTCGCTTATCGATCCGAGACCTCGTGTAACCTACGATCGGCTTAGTCGAATAGAGGC